CTGATTGAATGCAAAGGTGAAAAAGGAGTTCAGAATGAATTCTGATGAAAAGTGAGAAACAGGAATTTTGAGCTTGAATTATGAGCTAAACTTTTTGAATGCTGAGTGAGGGCATAGGATCTTGCAGAATCTTTGAATTCTGAAATTGCCACTTTCTTCACTGCCACTACGGGAAGATGCGAGACTTCTCATTGGAGGAAGAAATTGTTTGTATGGTAAGTCCACGCACGTCCTGTAAATGTTGAATTCAATTCTAACAAGTAAAATTTGTGATTATTATTAATTTTTCCTCTTCAATACTATTGCAAGAGTGAATATCTAAGTAGTCAATGGGAGGAAGACTCGCCTGGCAAAATGAACAGTAACTCCCCTCCCTTTCACAGGTTTTTTTTTCTTATTTTGCCCTTGATCCTTCCTTTTTCTCTCATACTCTGCCCTTCTGGTCTTTTTACAATTCTTTTTTATTTTTTATTTTTTATTTTTTGTGTCCTTGTTAATCCTTGAACCTTGCTCTTAGCAGGAGCAAAAACCTACTTTTAACTCTTTATCTTAATAAGTTTGTAGGTTTTATTTCCTCATTTTATAATATAATACTTTTAACCCTTAATAAGTTTGTAGTTTTTACCCCATCATCTTATATTATGATACTTTTAGCCCTCATCTATATGAATTAAAGAAAATAGCTCTTACTTAACATTAGGTTATAACGTTTTGTTAGTTCTGTTAGTTAAATATTAACTTTGTTAGCTAACTGTTAGCATCCGTTAGCATTCCGTTATAGAAAACATAAAATTTAAATTCAATTTTATTTGTTAATTCCATTAACGGAATGCTAACAAAACGCTAACAGTCAGTTAACAGTCAGCTAACAAAATTAATAGAACGTTATAACTTAACTTTAAATAAGGGTTATTTTTTTTGATTCGTATAGATGAGGGGCTAAAAGTGTTATAATATAAGACGAGGGGTTAAAACCCACAAACTTATTAAGGTAAAGGACTAGAAGTAGGTTTTAGCCTTTAGCAGGGGGTGAAAAGGTATTTAATGTTTAAGTCTATTAACTCAATGTGATTTTCCTCTTTTGCCCTAACATTTTATCCAGTCTCTTGAGTTTGGTTCTTTCGTCTTTTTGAGTAAAAAAAAAAAAAAATGCTACTTTGTTCAGTCATATTTGATTGTTTCCTTTTTCATGCTTGCCTTTAGAATCAGAGGATTGCATAAAAGCTAACATGGGAGGAGAAATTTAGAATCTGATCAACATTGAATCTCTGTTGAGTTGAAATGAAAACACTAAGCTTGCAATTTTGGTGTAAAAATGTAAATAGAAGTGTTAATTTTTTA